TAAATAAATAAAAATGGGCTAAGGTCACAAATAAATCAACAAAGTGCTGCACAGAAATCCGAAATTGTACAGCAGGGCCAATTATATTTGTTTTTATTTCTTTTTGGAGCGATTGTCGTGCGAAAACAAAAATCACGTGCTCACAAGTAGTACCAAATAATAGCAACAGAGAATACAATACCTGAGGCGAACAAAACCACATAACGCAATAAAAATCTAAGAATATGAAGGGACATGCATGCTACTAAGACTATCGGTGAACAACTATAAACTACCTACTAACCTTCTATCTTAATCATCGATCTCCACACTCTCCTATCAAGGGTCATGTCCTCAGTGAGCTGAAACAGCGTCATGTCCTGTCTAATCACCTCTCCCCAATACTTCTTAAGCCTACCTCGACCGCTTCTCAAACTCTCCATGGCCAACCTCTCACACCTCCTGACAGGAGCATCAATGCTTCTTCTCTTAACATGTCCGAACCATCTCAGCCTCGACTCCTGCATCTTGTCCTCCACGGAGGCTACTCCCACTCTGTCCCGGATAACTTCATTCTTAATCTTATCTCTCTTGGTACACCCACACATCCATCTCAACATTCTTATCTCTGCTACTTTAATCTTCTGCACGTGGGAGTTCTTGACTGGCCAACACTCAGCCCCATACAGCATAGCCAGTCGAACCACCACTCGATAAAACTTACCCTTAAGTCTTGGCGGCACATTTCTATCACACAAAACACCGGAAGCGAGCCTCTACTTCATCCATCACGCTCTGATGCGATGTGAAACATCTTCGTCAATCTCCCCGTTACCCTGGATAATAGACCCGGGATACTTAAAACTTGCTCTCTTAGGGATAACTTGAGCATCAAGCTTAACCTCTATGTCTGCATTATGGGTCCCGTCACTGAATTTGCACTCCAAGTATTCTGTTTTGGTTCTACTCAGTTTGAAACCTTTAGAATCCAAGGTCTGTCTCCAAACCTCCAACCTCGCGTTAACTCCGCTACGCGTCTCGTCAATCAACACTATATCATAGGCAAATAGCATGCACCAAGGCACTTTTCCTTGGATGTGTCGCGACTGTACATCCATCGCCAAGGCAAATAAAAATGGGCTAAGAGCCGATCCCTAGTGCAACCCCATCACCACAGGGAAATGCTCCGAGTCACCACCTACAGTCCTCACTGAGTCTTAGCATCATCATACATATTCTTAATCACCCTAATGTACGCTACTGGAACGCCGTTAAACTCCAAACACCTTCACAACACCTCCCTCGGGACTTTATCGTATGCTTTCTCAAGGTCAATAAATACCATATGCAAATCCTTCTTCCTCTTCCTGTACTGCTCCACTAATCTCCTTACCAGATGAATCGCTTCCGTAGTCAAACGCCCCAGCATGAATCCAAACTGATTCTCGAAAATAGACACGCACCTCCTCACCCTGGCCTCCACCACCCTCTCCCAAACCTTCAAAAAAAAATTTGTAATTAATATAAATACCATAAGTTTTTAGCCTTAGACCAACTGCCATGTATAGGAATATAGCCGTTGTATCATACAAAATGCAAAAACCCTAGAATCCTCGTGACGGCGACTAGCCGTTTGAGAAAAGAATTACAACTCAGACTCAAAGCCATAAACCCATAAATTGAAGAGAGAGGGGAGCGTCTCATCAATTCATCATTGGGTCCTCCATCTTCTCTCTTCTCAATTCTCAACCGACCACTCCACAAGCGCTATTCTATTCGTCTCTTTTTATTAGTTTCTTGTTCTTTAATTCAGTATATTATATTTGACTTAATTAATCTGTCTATAACCTTGATCTTAGTTTTTGCAGGCTTCGATAATCTTGTCTTTATTTCACATATATTACTTTGTTTTTTTTTTTTTTTTTTTTTTTGCTAACACA